ATATTTTCAGTACCGCATAATCATTCGTTATTGATTGAGCCGAATAAACCTCTAGAATATTTGGACTTGGCTTCTGAGGTTGCCCGTCACTGATTCAATTTCAAAGGTGAATTCGTCGTGTATATAGCAAGTGAAGAGGAAATGGAAAGCTGGGAAGCACTCGACAGCTATTTTGACCTGGTTGGGTCTCATCATCAGTGCGAATCCATCGACCTAACTGGGGATCGAACCCGGGAGCTCACAGGTAGAACGCAAGCGTGCTACCCACTCAGTGACCGGGAACCTAATCAGACCGTCTTTGTGAGCTTGCTGCGGACAATAGACCTCGCTCATTTCAGCACTAGCCTTCGGGTTATCACTCGGTTGGAAACATTCATAACCTGACTACTTATTTCAAGTGAGTAATGGAGGATGGGTTGTGCTATATCATGTAAATAGTAAATGAAAACGCTCTAATCAACTTCCCGGTCGCTAAGTGGGTAGCACGCTTGCGTTCTACCTGTGAGCTCCCGGGTTCGATCCCCAGTTAGATCGATGGATTCGCACTGCTGATGAGACCCAACCAGGTCAAAATAGCTGTCCGGTGCTTCCCAGCTTTTCATTTTACGCTTCATTTGCTATATACACGACGAATTCACATTTGGAAGATGTATTCTCATGATTTATCATGTGCCTCGTTTTAGGATGGATGATACACGTTTTATGGAAAATGCCCATCTCGGTATGGAGAGAAAACGCGATGGTTTTAGCGAACAAGCTCGTTTTCGACAACTTCTCGGGCTAATGCAGTTATATAGTCAAATTAAAATTAAAATGTTCATCAATGACTGTGTGATTTGTGGTTTGTGATTGTTTTTGGTGTGTGGTTGGGGAAGAGGTGGGAGAATGTGATCTTAACCGGGTCAGGAAAACAATTAGGATGTGGACGTGTCATCACGCGTTAGGGTCGCGGGGTCATGAGAAAGGTCATGTCTATCTCGGGGGTATGTCACGTTGTGGTCAAGGCAGTCTGAGTGATTGTATGAATCGCTTTTGAGAACAAAGCGATGGGTTTAATAATCGAATGGCCACGGCTTCGGCTGTTCTATTGTCCTAAAGAATCAAGGAACAAAAACCGATCTGGTTGCGTTCAGGCACAAGAAAAACGATTTCAAGTGCAATCGTAGCCCATCTTGCCGATACCGCGCATCAGGTTGATGATGACGCATTTCGCATCTTCTACAGGTTGCCACCAAATCCTTCGAAAGCAGCCCGTCAACGTCATCTCGCAACAGCCGAAGCCGTGGCCATTGGATTATTAAACCCGTCGCTTTGTTCTCAAAAGCGATTCGTACAATCACTCAGACTGCCTTGGCCACAACGTGACACATACCCCGGAGATACACGTTTTCAAAACATATTGCTGTCAGTCTGTGTTGTGGCAAGCAGAGCTGTAGCTCTGTGGTGAATCTGACGTCACTCTTCCTCAAGCAGGAGAAATTCAATGGCCAACACGACTGAAATCGCGGATCAAATACTGTATCTGACCTAACTTAATAAATAGCCCGAGAAGCATGCGGTACCAGTCTATCACCCTTTATAAAATCATGAGTTTGAACAGATGCGACAATCATGAGAAATGAAGGAACAAGAAGATAAATATCTATATCACCATGCTAAGTAACCGAAGAAGAAGCTGTGAATGACTAGTTGTTTTCAATAAGGATAGACAGCAATAGTCGGTCGATTCGGAAGTTACAGGGAAAAAAAACATTTCCTGTTCACTGGTGAATGAGTTCAAATTTATTCTTGCCATTCAGGTGAAATACTGCGAACTCTAAAACTGCATCCTTATATCCTCGTTGGCATTAAGCCAAGTGTACCCTTCAATGCCAAGCATATGTAGGCGATCGCATTTGGCCTTATTCGAGGGAATCTCGGCCTCAATGGAATTGGGAACCTAAACTGAATCCACTCATGCAATGATTCATTCCATCATTCTTGCTTGAGCACTTTGACCGATTTATCAATCCCTCTTGACTTGATACGCTACCCGGCCGACCGAGGTCAATTACGGTCGCGTTCGTTCATTCTCGTTTAAAACTCACTCGATAAGTGGTGAAATTTTCGGGTCGGGTAGATGGGTGCGAATGGTCAGCTGGTGAACAGACAATGTCATTGGTAAGCTAAATTCCACTAAATCCGCTGACCCAGACGGTATCCACCCGGCCTTAGTTAGACACATAGTTGAGATTCTAGAGGCCCACTCTGCCATCTGTACAACAGAACTCTAGAGCAGGGCAGGATACCACAGGACTGGAAAACGGCAATTGTGGTCACCATACCCAAGGGGGGACCGAAACAAAAGGTGGAAAACTATCTTCCAGTTAGTCTCACGAGCATCTTGTGTAAAGCGCTAGAGCGAATTATCAGAACCCATTAATCAAATACCCCACTCAGCACCGCTTGCTGCTGGCGGCACAGCATGGGTTACTGAAGGGAAAATTTTGTCTCAGTAATCTGTTTCACTTTTTAGATGAAGTCACAGCGAGATTGGATGAGGGTAGGCTAGTGGAAGTATGCTATCTGGACTTTAGCAAAGCATTTGACTCAGTATGTCATCGTTTGCTTTTGGCCAAGATAGATGCTCTTGGGATAAGGGGTAACATCCACAAGTGGCTAACAGCTTTCCTGACTGATCGAACCATTCAGGTTCGGGTCGTAGAAGCGAACTCGCCAATGAAGACTATTACTAGCAGTATTCCTCAAGGATCAGTTCTGGGTCCACTCCTTTTCTTGCTCTATATCAATGATCTTCTTGAACGCCTTGGCTCGCCTAGCTATATATTTGTGGACGACGTCAAGGTTTTAGGATCAAATGGGACAGCGGAATTATTAAGGGACATAGAAGAAGTGCTCAAGTGGTCAAGCACATGGGATCTGCCTCTCAACATAGGAAAGAGTCATGTCTTGATCACTGGAGACGAGGGGCTGATAGCAGACTATAAATGGGTAGAACAGCGTGCCGCAGCGGTGCACCGTGTCCGTAGGGAGCTTTTTAGACTGAGGTCGGCACTAACATGTAAGAAACCGGAGGTATTCGTGCCTCTATACAAGGCCATTGTTCGACCGCATTCAGAGTATTGTATACAAGCCTGGGCTCCCTTCTTCAAAATGGACGCCGCTTGTCTCCAGGGGGTCCAACGGTTAGCCACAAGGATGATCAGAGGACAGCGAGGGAAGTCGTATAAGCAGAGAGTGGAAGACCTTGGACTCTTCTCCTTGGAAAGAAGAAGCCTCCAAGGTGATTTGATAGAGACATTCAAAATTATGAATGGCCTATTAGGGACTGATCAAGCAGTGCTCTTCGAGAAGAAAGTGCGCACGAGACTAGCAGTGCGTTCAACCTTCTTCAGCAACAGGGTAGTCAAATCATGGAATAAGTTACCACAGGAGATGGCAGAGCTAGGGAGCGTACATGCTTTCAAGAAGGAGCTCGATGAGCGCTGGTTGAACTTATTTCCCGAAGTAGACGCATAGATTAAGGTCTGGAAACAGTGGTAGGTTTTATCAGTTACTAACCACCCCAACAGCGGAACGCTTTCAAATGTGAGGTCTCTCTCCTGAACAAGGAGAGACTTTTGTTCCTTTCTCTTCCCTCACAGAGGCGGGGACGACTGGGACGAGAAGAAAACGTGTAGAACTACAATATATAACACTCACAGTGGTAGGAGCCAACATGTGACTTACTACCGAAGGAACTCTGGATGCTCGATTGACCGTGGCCATCTCCTGTCCTGTGCAAACTGACTGACTGACTGACCTCGACCTCTTATGATGTTATGATTGTCCCTCTTGTCATGTGGTTTAGTGCTTGACTCATTCATTCGAACATACACAGACCTGACAGTCTTTGTTCTTTCTCTTGCCCTGGGCGATCAGGGAACGTAACAGGGGAGGCGGCCATGCCTCGCCCCACCGAAACTTGCATCCTCAGCTCGATAATTCACACAAAAAGTAGGAAGAAATCAGTTCATTTTGATCGGATTGGTTTTTATAGACCCAGTGACGTGTGGCGGCTGAAGCGCCAATCATTTTGGGGGTTCCAAATGGAATGCCATTGGTGGGATTCATTTAAATTTGTATCACGGTTTCACTTGAAGTTGAAAAGTTATAGGGCGAAATACAGTGCGACTGCTCCGTCGTTTCACATTGTCATGTCCGTCTCACTGATGAGGCCGGTGAAAACGCAAGACGCTTTGCTAGTTCAAAATCGCTTCCTAGTCCAAAGGTGTTGTGTTCACGGCAAGATTGTCGGGCCGTACTTTTTCACCGGACACAGGTAACAGGTTAGAACAATTTTGTCTGTACTTAAGGTAGATTCAAAGTTTTATTATGATTATTCGTTTACCGAACCCGCTTAGAAAAATAGAAAAATGATGCGAGTATCTTAGACAAGTCAACCGTTGGCCTGTTATCATCATCGTTTGAATTTATTCCATTCCGAGTTTTCCACATGGTACATTGTTCCACTGCTGATTCTTTTGTGGTGATTCTCTATCAACACTTGAATAGCATCGGATTCAGAACTAACCCTTTTGTGCCAGCCCGAGAATCAAAGGACCAATCGGGTTCATTTATCGATCGGTCGGATGGTTCAGCCGCAACACGGGGCCTGTTGCTTGCCTAGCTAACCCGAGCAAGAAGACACACCTTGTCTATAGAGCCGTGAGTCTCAGGCAGGCCCAGTGAACTTCGACTGTACACCAGGAGTACCATCAGCACACGGATGGACTGGACATGATAAGAAGAGCATCGCAAAAAGTACAAGCCGGTAATCAAGAAGTCTGTTGTTGGTGTGGGGGATTCCAAAGGCCACAGATCGCGGAAAATGATCCAATCAGATAGCAGAAGAAGTCAAAGGGAATTTACTTGTTTAAGGACACGGGTGAGGGACAAGACAACGTGAAACGATTGAGCAGTCGCACTGTACACAAATCTCGTAGCAGTATTTCCGTAGTACCGGTTGATGCCTGTTCTCTCTTCCTTTTTTTTCTATGATTAAAATCTCCTATTATCAGCATTCACCGCCTTTTATCTACACCATTTTCCATCAAGCTTTAACCAAAACTCACAATCTTTTAGCACTGACCCAAATTCCTTTAACCTCGATGCACAAACTTTAGTTATCCCGCTTTGGGCGAGGCAGATCAGAATGCATCGGAATATTCTGAAGTCAGCGAATGTTGAAAAAATTTCTACAAACGTTAATTTTGCAAAGCATGGTTAAGAAATTAGATGTTGGGGTTGCACGTTGTACCACATGTTGACCGGAGAGGGTTGAATCAATGTACCAGTATCGTCAAACCATTTGGCACATCTCGTAGAGCGTCAAGGGTAATGGACTAAGGGTCAAGGCTAAAGGACTGTGGGTTTTTGCCCAAGCTTGATGGGAAAAGGTGTAGATAAAAAGCGGAGTAGTAGGAGATTTCGATGTACCACAGGATAACGGGAACAGAGAACGGGCCCCAGCCGGTACTACAGAAATACTGCTGCCAGATTGGTTTCATCAGCACGTGCTAACGCAGCCAGTGAGACAATCCACCAGTGATTTACAGCGAACGACGTGCCATCTATACTAGATCTAGTGATCTCTAGAACCCCGCTAGAGATAAGATCTATCACTCTGGAGGAGCATCTATGAAAAACGGGTCATTTAATTCTACGAGGATGCCAATGCAATCAACTGGGCACGAAACGAGTGAGGTGTAGGAATGAACAGATATAAAGAAAGAGCTGAAGAGTGTCAAAAATTCAAATATGCGGGATAAGAACACAAACATAAATGTTCGCAACGCACAGCTAAACCAAGTGAAGTGTCCATCCATCTATTTGGGGGCTGCGCATGAGGACTTCAATAGGAAAAGTAAATACATGCTACGTGCTTTAATTGAAACAATGCACACCATTTGCTGTAACGTATCGGTTTCTGTCTAGTAAATTTTCGCTCGACAAGACGAACTATAGACAATAATCAACTAGAAATAATACTTCACTTTTTGAGGCCCTTAACGGAATACAAATTTCAGATCAAACGAATTCGATGGAAGCAGTGTGCTGCATTATTCGGTGATCTCAACCGTGAGCTGTGATAATATTCTGTGAATATCACCCTCAGCGAATATCATCTTTTCACGAGACAGACAATAGAAAAGGCGGACAAAAAATAAGGATATCCTCGGTGTGAATTGGGTCCGAAGTCAGTTTGCATGTACACCGTGGAACAAGGGACGAACGATCCACTCTGGTTATCCTAGTCTGTCAACACATCAAAATGCATTCCTTTATTTCTGTGTTTGTCTGTGTATATGTGTGTGTGTTTCATTCTATATATGTTCTGTAGCTATTGTGTGTTGTACAACGCACTGCTCCCCGACGTCCATCGCCCCGTTCCATTGCCATGCCCGTTCGAACACGCTCCCGGGACCAAGAATCCGATTCGTTCTTTTTCCTCCCGATCACCGTCGAGCCCCGTGGATGATTGGATTTGTTTCGCGATCGCGGTGACTGATACGAGTCATCTGTCTGACTGATCATGTGCAAAAGAGCTTGCCACTCGGCCTCGGTCAGATTGGCAATCAGTTCCTGAAATTGTCGTGAATCGTCCGGATCGATTTTGGTCGATTCGAGTTGTGTGTGATCGGGACAGTCCGCAGTTTGTGGTATGTGTTTGGCCAGAGCTGCCATACGGGAATCCAGTCGACTGATCATTTTATTCAATGTGCTCACAGTCGATTTGGTTGCACCATGACGATCCGCACGCGTTCCATGATGCCGGCTACACTGTTCGTTCAGTTTGCATCGTCTACGTGTTGGATTGTTTGTCTCAGTCGATGGATGACCGTGTCGTACGTGGTCCTGATAGATTTGGTCTCCCGACGAAGGGAGTCGGAATGCGTGAGATTTCTCGTTCTGATGTCG